ATTCCAAAGGAGGTAAAGAAATTCCAAACGTGCAGCTTTCCGTCTCAGTGCAAGGTATGGAATGTTGTTAGCCTGCATCAGTTCAGTGGGTGAGTCATACGGTGAAAATTTGGAATAAATAAACCTGACTGCTTTTCTTTGCACATTTTCTAGGTGATTAATGTTGGTTTTAGTAAAGGGGTCCCATACTACACATGCATATTCGAGTTTTGGCCTAATTAGTGTGTTATAAGCAAGTAATTTAACAGCTGGAGGAGACTGTTTGAGCTTATGTCTTAAAAAATATAACTTGCGGTATGCAGAAGAACAAATGCTATTTATATGTGTATTCCACGACAAAGTATTAGTAAGAGTTACACCTAAGTACTTGTATGCCGTTTCCTCATGCAATGGTAATGAGCCTAGCCTATATTCAAAGGAAAGTGGAGCTTTTCTGCGAGAGAAACGAAGATATACTGTCTTACCAATATTAAGTTTCATGTCCCATGTGTTACACCATTCGGAAATGTTAGCAAGAGCAGTGTTAAGGAGGTGCTGATCGTTAGGTGAAGTGATTTCATGGAACAACACGCAGTCATCTGCAAACAATCTAATTTCAATGCTAGGATCAATGACTGTAACGATATCATTAATGTATATCAAGAATAACAATGGCCCTAATACACTCCCTTGAGGAACCCCGGAACCAACCGGAAGATAGCCAGACCGCCGCCCATTAACTTCCACACACTGGGATCGATTAGTCAAATAACTCCTAATCCATGTAATTAAAATTTCCGGAAGTTTGATTTTTCTGAGTTTTAAGATCAGTTTGTCATGCGGAACCCTATCAAAGGCTTTGCTGAAATCTAGAAATATTGCATCGATTTGACCATTTTTATCAAAACATGAAGCGAGTGAATGAATAACGGTAACTAATTGTGTAACTGTCGAGTAGCCTTTTCTAAACCCATGTTGATGATTAGAGAGAACTGAATGTTCATCTAAGAATTCATTAATTTGATTGGCGATAATGTGCTCAAGAAGTTTACAACAGGATGATGTAAGTGATATCGGTCGATAATTTTCTAATAAAGATCGATCACCTTTCTTGTGTATGGGAACGACTCTGGCTACCCTCCAGTCATCCGGTAGTTTACCATGAAGTAAAGAATTACGGTAAATTATAACAAGAAACTTTGCAATAGACTCAGCATATCGCTTCAGAAACATGTTAGGAAGGTTGTCAGGACCACATGAAGATTTCGTTTTCAAGTTCAATAGCATAGAAACCACGCCAGGGTAAGAGATGAAACTGACATCAGAGGGATGAAATGTTGTGTGATTGGCTGGACAAACACCAGACTTACTAAAAACACTCTGGAAGTACTCATTCAAATGACATGCGATGTCACCAGGATCATTAACAATTGAGCCATTAATAGAAATTTGAGACACTGGCTTCTTTTTTTCGCTTATATAATTCCAAAACTTTTTAGGATCTTCTGAAATAAAGTTTGGTAGCACCGTCTTAAAATAGTGATCCTTCGAAGAGCTTACCGCACGTGCAAGGTTATCTTTTAGTTCTTTTAGATTGCCGATAGATATGCATTGTTTTTTTAATCTCTTTATTTTTCGCTTCAGGTGGATGATTTCACGCGTCATCCATGGTGTCTGCCTATTAACTAGTTTATATTTGGTTGGTACAAACGTATCTGTACAGAAATTACATATATCTTTGAAACGGCACCAAAGTGAGATGACATCAGTGTCGGTGAAATCAGTTAGACATGTTTCCAAATGTTCTATTATGGATGCATCGTCTGCACGTGAGTAGTCTTTGAAAGAACGCTTCACAGAATTATTTGATTTCATAGGAGCAACAATGTGTAAGCAAACACTGACAAGAAGATGATCAGAAATACCTTCCACAACTTGAACTGTGCACTCTGATAATTGTCTGGGTAAAAAAACCAAATCCAGTACTGATTTCGAAGTACCTTGAACACGTGTTGGTTCCCGCACTATCTGCACTAGGTCGTGAGTTAACATTATACTCAGTATACTATTGAAATGATTGTTGTTTTCAGAAAGTGATTGAAAGCGTTCCCAATTAACGCCTGGTAAGTTAAGGTCCCCTATTAAGAGTATTTTATGTTTGTGGAATTGAGACAGGTGTTTTTCTAGTTTATCCAGATACTCAGGGGTGGCATCAGGAGGCCTATAAATGGCACACAGCAAAAAGTTATGGCCCCAGCATGTGATTTTTACGCATAAACATTCTAGGCCGGGGATGTCTTGCAAAAGAACAGCATCTAACGGGTTTTTAATGAGGACAGCCACGCCGCCTCCTCTAGAAGCCCTATCCTTACGAAATATTTGATAACAAGGTGGGAAAACGTCCTCGTCACATATTTCAGTCCGTAGCCACGTTTCAGTTATGACGGCAATGTGGGGGTCTTGTTCTAGTAAGGAGACTTCCAAAGGTACTGTTTTATTTATTACACTACGAGCGTTTAGGTTGATTATACGTAAACTCTTGTCATACTCATTGAAAACGGGTCATATGTCAGACTGCTGAGATCGCTGGTTCGTTATTTTGACACGCATGTTTTTTGTCTCATCCCAAAAGTATAGCTCTTTATCGACCTTTAGCTTGTCATGAAGCAAGTGCACTTTTTTACCTTGTAGTTTTTCTGCTTTCGCGCTTTCCCACAGAAACTTCCGTTTCTTCAAAGTCGCTTGCGAATAGTCATTTTGAATAGATATGCCTGATCCTCTAAGTTTGCGACAGCTATCGAGTATCAGTTTCTTTTCATTGAAATTTTGGAGATAGACAATGACCGGGCGTTTGCTGCCAAGGCGTCCAAGCCTGTGGATGCGGCCGATAGAGTCACATTGTACGTTCATCTTATCCCGCATTATCGTCGTTAGAACTTTTTCTTTAAGAAGCGCTTCCGTTTCCTCGGGGCATTCAGAAACGCCATGAATTATTATGTTTGACCGCCTGTTTCTGTCCTCAAGATCAGTTAGTTTCTTTGACTGGAATGTGATAACGTGTTCTATGGATTTAAGCGTATTTTGAACTCCGTCTTCCGGTGATGAAGGTAGTTCAGACAGCCTTTTTTCAATATGACTGACCATCTGCTGAAGGCTACTGATCTGCCCTTCGACATTAAGTAATTGCGCTTTCATTTCTGCAATGTCATTGCGGATTACAGTTTGACCTTCAAGCAACTGCTCAAACAATTCTTTCTGCGTGGGACCTGGGTTAGTTTCAATGTCCCCGCATAGAAGCAACTTGCAGACGAAAAGACATTCATAGGCATTCTGTGCCCCAATTGCTTAGAGTACACTATTTGTGTACTTTTGTTGTTGTTTTTTTTGCTTATTGTTTGTTCAAGGTGCTTAGGAATGTATGTGTCTCCAGATGCTTTCCTTAAGCTATATAAGAAAAAGCTATATACTCTTGGTCTTTTTGTTGACTTCCGCAAAGCATTCGACACCGTGCACCACAGTGTTCTTTTAGAAAAACTTAATAACTACGGTGTCCGTGGCGTTGCCAATAGGTTAATTAAAAATTACTTAACAGACCGCTATCGGTATGTCGCTATTAATCAAGAGACATCTCCCCGTGCGAGGGTCAACAAAGGTGTCCCACAAGGATCGATACTTGGTCCTCTGTTGTTTATAGTTTATGTAAATAACTTGTGTAGCATTTCGGATTCTCCTAAGTTAATCATGTATGCTGACGACACCACTATATTTTTTGCTGGTTCATCGATATCTCAACTTGAAAAGTCTGTAAACACATATCTAAATAAGTTGTCTTCCTGGATTAAACTAAACAAGTTGCGGCTAAACGCGAGTAAAACTAAATATATATTGTTTGCACCCATTAACAAGCCACGGAATATAAGTCTAAGTGTCTCCTTTGAGGGTCACACTTTAGAACAAGTCAAGGTACAGAAATTCTTGGGTGTGTGGTTCCAGGAAGGCCTTTCCTGGAATGAACATATAAATAAATTGGCAGCAGATCTAAGTAGAAGCGTTGGATGTATGTACAAACTATGTCCGTTATTACCACTTTGGCTAAAGAAAGCGTTATATTATACACTGATATATTCCAGGCTAAGTTATCGTGTCTTATGTTGGGGAACAACGACGGCTCAAAACTATAAAACATTACTTACACTACAAAAGAAGGTACTAAGACTATTCGTGGGATATTACGGTATGCCACAAGGTCTTAGCGCACGTCCGTTATTCCCTAAATATCTCATATTACAAGCAAACCAAATATATTATTATAAGTTATTATTGTATATCCAAAATAATAAACTATACCCCATGTACGATTCTTCTCGATGTGCTGAGTACTATCTCCGTACACATAGTATAAGAACACCGAAAACTAGAACAACCTATGGTCAACAACATATTGATTATCAAATACCGAGTCTCCTCAACAAACTGGGTGACGTACTTGACCTAAATAAGAAAACTTCCAAAAATAAGTTCAAGGAATTTCTCCTTTATAATTGTATTGAATACACTTAATACAGAAATTAGGATTATTTATTACTTTCTGTGCCCCAATTGCTTAGAGTACACTATTTGTGTACTTTTGTTGTTGTTTTTTTTGCTTATTGTTTGTTCAAGGTGCTTAGGAATGTATGTGTCTCCAGATGCTTTCCTTACCTCACCTATTGTATATATTACGATGTTTTTTTAGGTATTTCAATACTATTTACTGTCCTGTTCTTTCTTTATATTTGTGATGGTTACATGTGTGATCAGAATTAGCAAATTGTATCTGTATATAATGATGCTCTCAAATTGTGGCTAAGTTGTGCATGACATGTTATTTTTAGTTTTTATTTTATTTTATTTTGCCAGACTGTATTTCGGAGCAAAAACCTCAGTCAGGCTATGTAGCCTTTTGCTTTTGCTTCGTTTTTTTCTGTTGCACGTACAGAAAAATAAATCTCAAATTGAAATTGAAAATTGAAAGTGCTCACCATGGAGAAGTTTTGAGCGTTGGGCCTCCGCCTGGGGTCCACCTGCAACAGTCCCTGCAGGGGCTCCTGGAGGTGGTGTGGCACCCGGTCCAGCAGGTTGTGCAAGCTGCCTTCGAGCTGGGCACCATCATCGAGATCACTTTAGTGTCAGCTGAATGGATGCTCGAGTCCGTTAGTTTTGCGGCTTAAGCGTGGCGCACATCAAGCAAGATGACACGCCTTCAGCCTCGTGTCACTACGCTCCGTGCTACTAAGAGAGGCTGCTAGCGAACTTACGTCACGTTTGAAGTGTTAAGATAGACATAGATGAGGACAGTTGAACCACTAGATCATAACTGAATATGGAATTCATTATAAAAGACAGGGCGTGGAAACACGGATGCAAGAAAGCAGTCAAGACACCACAGACGCTAGCGTCTGTGGTGTCTTCTGGAAGCAATCCTGATAGTTTTATCATAAAGATAACGGTAAAATGATTGCACTGACTGCAAAGGTTTACAAAAGTTCAATTTGGATACGTGTAAAACGGGTGACCACCATAATATGAGAGGGTAGCGCGTTCTCAAGTAGCATGACATAGATATCGCTAACTAATTTGCCCTAACTTTTTCTCAGTTTCAGTGATAAATAGAAGCTGGCATGCGAGGTGATAAGGCTGGACGTGGAAGGAGGAAACCGGTTGTTAGTGATTGGAGCTAACGCGTACCACTTCGAGCTGCTTGTTGTAAGTGGTGGTCGAAAGGTTCCCCTCGATGATCGAGCGCCCATTGTTGAACAGAGCGCAGATCACGAGCCCCAGCGAGAACATGTCCGAGAGGGGAGAACACGACGACGTCGCCTGGATCTCGGGGGCCGTGTAGTCCAGATCCGGCTGACCCATCTTGGGCAGCTTCGACGTGAATGGCTGACAGCTCACTGGACTCTGCGTTGAATAGAAAGAGAACCGCAATACGCGAAGCCTTAACCATGTACATGATCTTCAAGGATAAGTTCGAAACTCGGTAGTGAGTCGACCCACCCGGGCTGACTCAGACTCAGAGCAAGGCGCGAATCCATGTGAGTCACATTTTGGGGAGTGTTCACTCCAAGTGAGTCCGGTTGAACGAACGTTTCGTGAGTGTGAGCGCGAGAGAGTCCAAAGAGAAAGATTCATTTCTTGAGTGAGTCCAAGTGAGTTCAACTTTTGTTTGCCTACCTACGATCCTATCTGCTCCTATTCAGCATCACTATGCGCCTTAGACGAACTCGCAGTTATACTCACTCGTATACTCACAAGTGTTTCAAAGCAGGATTTTTCACAAAGCCTTTCAGTATTTATTCATCAAGAGCGCGAATTACATTAGGGAGGCGCCTTGAACTCCACCGTCATCTACTTTCACAGCGAAGTCCTCGATAAATATATGTTATGCTGCCATCTCTTCATTAGCGTTGTCCGCACTGGTTTGAAACCATTCCATAACTCGTATTCGAAGGTACTAAGGGTGTCCCACATAACTTGAGTCAAGAATTCGAAAGTGAAAGACACTTAGGAGGTGTGAATTGGTCCAAACGCGTATTATTCGCACTAGCCTGTGGGTACTCAGGCCATTTACTTCTCCCCGTACTAATTAAATAATATTTTAATTACCAATTTTTAAATGATGGGATGGAAACCCAGAATATGAACACCGAGATGTAGAACGCTTTCGGAAACCACCGACTGAATTGTTTCTTGTACGATACGTCTAGCGCTGTTATTTTTCCCGCGATGTAAAGAAACCCTATAGCAGCACTATGGAAGTGCGCTCACGGTCCTTCACACGGCTTCTTTTCACATTTCACGGGCTTTCTTTACAACGTGGCAAAAATAACAGCGCGAGACGTATCGTACAGCAAACAATTTCCTCGGTGGTTTCTGAAAGTGTTCTACTTCTCAGTGTTGATAATTCGAATTTACAGCCCAAAATTAAAAACTAGGTAATTTAGAATTATTAATGACTTAGTATGGGGAGAAAAAAAAAGTACCTACAGACTAGTGCGAGTAGTAGGCGTTTGGTCCGATTCGCCACTTTCAAATTCTTGGCCCAGGTTATGTGGGACACCCTGTATAGCAAAAGGCGCCAAGACGAGGACTGATTGCGTGAGATATTGGTGTTAAAGCGAGCGGCCACCATGGTCGAGAAAGCTAATTCTGGACTGACGGACTGAAGCGTCCGCTAACTTGAACTCACTCAGACTCAAATCGAGCCATGAGACTGAGTTTGAGCCAGTCCGGGTAGGTAATATCTTCGTGAGTTTGAGACCGAGTGAGTCTGGTTTCCAAAAATTTTTGTAGTGTGAGTCTGAGTGAGTCCGGCTCTGGAAAAATATTGGTGAGCCCAAGTTTGGGGGTGCAATACGCGCGAAACATATTTCTTCAACGAGGCTGAGTGAGCTCCACAGTTTTTGCCGACCTCTGTGGGCTTGTTACTAAACAGGTGCAAAAATGTAAAATTACATTGAGGGAGAGAACTTGGAAAACTTGTGGCCGTTTAAACCAATGATATTTAATTCCACTGTAAAAAAGTTGGCCCCGTATCAGCATGTTACACCGCAAATGCCGTCGAAAGAGGATAGTCATGAGTCTGTGGAAAGTGCTTGAACATAACGTTTATTTGATGTTCTGCGCAAGAAAACCTGTGAATGGTATTCTGGAGGCGCTGCGTTAGAGTGCCCCAAGCGTGCAGTGGAGGCGAACGAGCGCATCAAGTCACGTCACACGTGAGACATGAGTGCTACCTGGCAGTTTTTGCACCCCGTTTCTTGTTTTCTCTGTTCCCGCGTGGCTCGTGACGCACAAAAACAGGGCAGAAATAAACGAACAAACACAAAAAATGCATTGGCGTCAGACTTCTCTGTCAGAAAGGAGACAAAACATTCGCTTTCTGAAGACACAAACACGCGAAAATAATAAAAAATATGAGAACGGTCCACATAAGCCGCAACGATAACCAAGCAGTCTACACTGAATGTTCCTGCTAAACTCTTTCATCGAGCCGCCGGGAGGTAGCCCAGATCTAGCATCACAGCCACCGCCAGCTGGCTCTTTGACGACAGGGCATAGAGGGACAAAAAAAAAAAGATATAGATTGTCACGACGTCAAGGTAGAAGGGTCGCTTTGGCGATAGCGGACACAGGGATGCTGACCGTATACACCTAAGAGCACTCACGGAAATACGAAATGAGCAGAGGCGAAAAAAAAAAAGAAAAGAAAGAAAGCTAGGAGAAAGCTAGCACGTCGCAGCCGACATCGACCTGTCTTCTTCATGGGCCCGCGCGTTTCCCGCATCTGGGACTCCTCAGAGAACGGGGACATCGAGCGGATACCCCGCTCCTTTTGCGGCGGCCAGCTTCCTTCTTGATGCCTGGTTGTAATGCAACCGAGGAATCGACGGTGACACGGATGGTGTTTTTGGCTTTGGACCACTGTTTGGTTTACGGGCGTGCTAAAATGGTGCAGCCACTGAGTCATCTTTACTAAAAAAAGGGGGGGGGAGAGGCATACTAAAAGGTGTTCGTGTTGCTGAAGAGCAGGCGCGAAAACTCGCTAGGGTTTTCTACTATATTCACTCGAGAAAACTGCGGTGCTGCGATCATTCAGCACTCATGGGACGTGTATTTACCAGATTCTCGCGCGTGTGGCTTTGAACGCACGTGTGTATTTGTTTATAGTTTTATTTTTAGCTTTTTTTTTGGATAAAATATTTCCTCGGTATGAACCTCGTTAGCTGATGTGATCGGTTCAGCCTTTTATAGAAGAATAGAAGGTGAAGCAAAGTGGCTGATATTTTCGTGAACTTTACCTAGCGACTAAAACGCAGCCGGCCATGCAGAGCGAGAAGGAAACTATTCAACGATGCTAAGACAGATCCTTCTATTAGGCATCATTCCAATAGTGGCTCAAGTATCGTGTGTCACATCTCTCGTAGACATTAGCGCCAAATTTTTGCGGTAGTGTACTGGCGTGACACTATCAGAAAAACGGGGTCACGGGATGAAACATAAAGGAAGGCTCTACCATTGACTGTCGATTGTGTTTTCCTGTTTTTGAGAGTTCTCAGCACATTACGTTGAAGTATATTGCTGCAGCGTGTGCCGCATTCACTGAAGTTACACGACTGCGTAGTAGCAAGCAGGGAATACATTGCCCAAGTGACATCCAACAGTTGCCAACAACAGTTTTGGGAGATTATCCAAGGCCAACGCATGGCTGTGAAGAGTTTGACACCATTATACAGTTATAGTATGGTGATTCTTATATTATTTCGCGTAAACTCTTCACCCAACTAAGCAGCGGCTTCCTAGGATCAGTTTCATTTCACTACTTATCGCTCCAACGCAACTGTTTTGCTGGTTGCTGCAACATACTCATCAAGGAAAAGCCTTGTTTAGTGCGATAAATGCCTACAGTATAAAGAGACTACAATATAGAAAACAGCGCTCTATCCTATCTTATCTTATCTCAGGAGTGGTTTCAAGCCCATCTTGTCCTATATTTTCTTGCCAAATTCTGCAAATTAAAAATGTTTTTTTTTGTAAATATATAGTATAACATGTTTCGTCGGACTTTCTGTAACCTCGTTCTGTCTCGAAAGTATATTTCTGCAATGGTTTGCACGTCGTATATCTTATCAGCGGCTTTTCCATAAATTACAAGTCATAAGACTGATGTTCAATTATCAGTGGCATCAAGAATTTCATTGAAAATCTAGTTTATTTCTCGTCGTGAGTTTATCATTGTTCCACATGCAAGGGTGTAGTAGAGGTTGAAATTTTCGGTGATGTCCTTCTACTCTCTACCTCTTATTATCCAATAATGATAAGTACGTCATACATTAATTATACTGCGTTCTCAAGCTTCACCGCGTGGTCAAACGGGACATATGTAAAATATGACAACCAACTTGGCATAGAAAAGGTAAGGTTAGAATAATCATTGTTTTATAAAAAAAATTGATAGATTTTGCAGTGCTGTGGCTAGCGAAATACCGAAGTATTTGACACCACGAAGGCTAACAGTATTAGCAGTCACAACAACAATGAATACGGCAGATGATTATGCCATGAGTTTAAGTTTCAAAACTCGAGGGGCCCTTAAGCTTCGCCTTTGAGAGTTGAACGCGGTATCGATATCTTGTCCCGAGTAGGTACTTCAACTTCGTAGTGCCTACTTTTTCTTATACGATGTTACCCGAAAAGTTGAAATCGTAAATTAATAAAATTTAATCAATGAAACGGAAAGTGGCTCGTGTCAGTATCATGCAACAAAAAGCTTAAACAGCTAAGCTTTTGAAAATTTGAAAGAGTGCACGCACGTTTGCGTGCGCTCATCGGTCACTTGAGTGTTTAAAAACAAGACATAATAAAAAGGTGCACTCTAACTGCTGCGTGTAGTTTAATTTGGGTGCCCTATCTCTGTATTCAGTCGTATTTCTTCTTCAATTTCTGTTGCCGACAAATATTTGGCTCAGTGTTCAACGTTCTACGTGAACTGAAAACTCTCCGATATCTTCAATGTTTTTATTGCTTATAAGGGTGGTAGATCGGCTTAGTTAGTTGGTACCGCATGATCAGAATTGTGAAATAGCCCGCCAGCAACGGAAGGGGATAGAAAATAGGGGACGCAGACTGGTGCTACAGTTGTAAAATCGCTCACCAATTTGCGAACAGGACCTATTTACGCAAAAGAAAAGATGTAGATGCTGCCACACATTGACAGCAACGTTTCTCCTTATTATACATTAAAAAAAGGGGCCTTTATTGCGTTGTACGCATCGCTTTAAAGTGCGGTCCGGACAGTCACGTCTACAGCGGTTTTCGATCATCAGTGGAACAAGCACCCTAAATGGGACGCATTAGCTGCACACACCTTCTTAATTGAGAAGTACCCGCTTATTCAGGGTTCGTCTTGTATCTTCGTATATATGCAATGGCACAGCGAGTGTACGAGCCATTAGGAGGTCGAGTCTAAGACGGCTCCCCGTAAAAGGGCTGTCCATCTTTTTTTCAGAGAATTCGTGCGCGAACGGGCCGATAACAAAGTGGGGTGTTAAAAGCGTTCCCAAACGACGGAATTTTTCGACCGAGCACTTCCCGTCTGTTAAAAAAAAAAAGAGCTCTCTTAAGGAAAGCACTTACGGACATTCACGCGAACGCGGTTACACGCAAGCCCAACTCCCACTCTTAAAGAAACAAACTCATGGTTTTGAACGAACGTTGATGGAACGTTATGGTGGCATGGCTCCATAGAAACTCGTTTCTTTTCTAGTATCGGTCTTTAGCTCATTATTTTAGACCTAAATGCGCTGTAGGCACCAAGCTTTTAAGAAACCATGCCTCCATTCAGGTCTCGAGAGCCGACTTGCCTCAGAGAAACTTCAAGAATGATTGCTGCGTGTTGTGAGCGAGAGCGTTTAGTGCTAGAGCTCGAAAAAAAAACCTGTGATTTTTTGTGTGTGTATGAACCATGGGATCAGTGTTGACAGGTTTCGCGTAAACGGGCCGATCGATCTTGCCAGTTTCACACCAAGAAAGACAAGAAAGAAGGAAAGCTTTTAATGGAGTTGACCTTTTTGAAAGTTTCAAATTTTACCATGCGTGCACGCAAAAGGTATTTGTGACTATTACGTTATTAGTTTTGAAGTTTAGGCCCACTTTCAAAGTGCCTCGTGCTGAGAAGTATGCCACTGACAGACTTTGCACAAACTTCGTTTTAAACATTTGTGCTGCCTCCTTTATGAAGCGGCAGCAGCAAGCAAAATGTAGGCTTCAACGTACAATTTTTAAGTATTTGATATTACTTACCGACCGAAATCCTATGCAGCCGCCTATCTGAAGAAAACTTTGAGCTATCTGTTCAAACTTATTTTTGACAGTAAGGAATAGATTCCACGGAAAACGGAAAACAAACAATAATGTGTCTTTTTTGTAAATTCCTGCTTAGTGAAAAAAAGATATTTGAAAACAAGTTTACTAGGCTCCTAACGTTTTGTCGTGGTGACAAATGAATGATGTTATAAATTTTCTGCTTTCAGTGTAATAGTTAGCCTATTGAGCTACGTCAATATGCACAAACAGTTTCCTTCTTTCCAGCACTAAGTGAACAAAGAGGTTATATATGAAACAATGGTGATAGAAACCTTCAGTATTGCGTGAGTTGCTTTCTCCGTAAAAAACACCTTGAATTGCTTACTTGAAAACAGAGCATTAGCGACGTTGTCATGGGAGGTGGGACGACGATTGGATACACTAGTTGTCTTTAGAACACTGGAGTTTAGAGTGTAAACGGAAGACTTACTGTTGTGAATCATGATTGTCATGACATGAATTTTCTTCGCAAGAAAAAAAATTCTTCAACTTGAACACTTGTATTATTCTTACGGAAATGGCACTTTCATTGTGCAGGTAACAGTTCATGTCGTAGTTTGGAAATATTGCTATGACCGCAAAGGATTTCACTATATCAGAGTGCCACTTTTTTTGTATGACAATGCGTTACGCGCACGATAAAATTTGGTGCAATATTTGAGATAAAACTGAACCGTCGAGTCTACAGATCAGGCTTATTGCAGAACTGCACTAACCTAGGTCAGATGTCACGAATCTATTCAAAATACAGTGCTAATATGAAAACGTGACCGCAGAAGTGGCAATTTAATTTTACAGGTAGTAATTGGTGTCACAGTTCTAAAATTTTTGCAAAGACCATAGACGTTTGATAATTTTCATTATAACAGCATAATACTATATACGCTTGGCAGCGCATATTGCGCGTAACAGAGAACTTACTGCAACATTTCGAATGAAGCCGTACTGTCTAGAACTGAATGCTGTTGCAGAAGTGAAGTAAGCTACGCTATTTGGTATGAATTCAGTCTACACGCCACGCAAATACGAAAACGCGACGCAGACAAAAAGTAAAGACAGAGCAAGCACTGAGGGACGTTAAGTTAATAAATATGGTGCAGATTCAAATGGTATAAGCAACACGAGCAGTGCTTGCTCACGAGCTTACCATTTTTATGTGTTTGCGTCACTATTCTTGTACTTTTGAGTTTTCACGTTACCGCAGTGTATTGTGATAGTGAAGAAGCGTTCGGAGTTGCGTGGCAGATGTGAGTGCACGTCAGCTTACCAGCAGGTCGGTGTCGCTACATTTCTCGGTGAATTCTAGGCCAGCCAACTTCCATGTGCCACGCTTGTTGACGATCACCGACTGAGGGCAAAGGTTCCTGTGGATCAGCTTGCACGAGTAGTGAAGGAATGACAGCGCTTCCGTGAGCTGCACGAGACGGAAACAATGAAAGTTTCAGCGCTCTGCAAGACTTCATGACTGTCTTCATAAGTTCAAAGGTCCACAACAAAAGAAGCAGTCACTAGTTACCATTCCTAGATGCTTCAAACATCATTGCGAATTGAGTTTAACCAACCCTGTCTAGAATCTCAATTAAAGTAGTTTTTGTACTCGTAAATGTACGTTTCCAGAATGGCTAATCAAAATAAATAGCGACGTTCTTCAGAGACGGAATAACCATAATGACCCTCCTGTGACTGCCTTTGTGACTGCCTAGAGTATAGTAGACAACGACTAAGGAACTTAGCGAATTGGATAATCAACCTCTGTTTGTAGAAAAAATTTGGCAATATCGACAAGATGAAACTTCACAGAAGAAGGCTCTGAAAGTCTACTTCACTTTTTGCGATCGACTGGTCTTTCTGTATGGTTGTAGCCAGAACGCCCTTTCATTGTGTGTTTTCGTTTTCTCGTGTGTGCAAGTGCGTTTTTTTTTGTGTCTATCTACCCCCTCTTTCTTGCCTCTATTTCCCCACCCCCAGTGCTGGGTAGCACACCAGATGCCAATGTCTGGTTAACTTCCCGGCCTTCATTTTTCTGTATATATATATGTCTGTCTACTCATATTTGCCATCATAGATATGACGATGTAAGCGCCTCATGGCAACAATTGATGACTTTCTCGCCAAAGACTGAAAGACAAGATACCCATCATCATACATGGAACTTATCTGACATAGACGAAGCTTGTGGTTTACATTAATGAGGTGTGACTACCGAAATAGAATGAGACGTCAAAACGCGAACACTATTCAAGTAGGCATGACTCATAATTTGTAACGGAGTGAGGGATTCATCCTTATCTCGTACTTTTGTTGTCGTAAACTAAAAGGTTAAAGCACTCATTACCATTATCAACTCCGTTAATACTAGAATGGTGACAATAATAGACTAGTAACTATGACACATAACTGGCGCAATATAATGAGAAGACTGAATAGTCGAGGCTGACTCATGACTGTGTTGTAAGAAACTGATGAAAAAACAGCACTGGCTGACGCTCCCGTGGGCAACAATAACGTTGCGCTCATCTGTCAGTGTGAAAAATCTTGAGTTATTCATACTGCACAAGTAAACAAAAACCAAATACTCTGAATATAGCCACATCACATTCTTTAGTCTTAAACCAAATGCATTGTTCGCGCAAAGCTCAATGTTAAAGTTGCACCGAAAACCACTGTACAGCACAATTCTAATAGGATTAGGCAGCTGGTCTATATAGACAAGAGATTGCATCTCCACAAAGCGTTGCTTAGGTCAAAATCACCAATACGCTCAAATCATATAGCGCTTCAAAAGTTGAAGCCTTAAGGCAAATCACTCTCGATCATTTTAGAGCTTAGTTACGGTTGCGCGTCGGGTATTTTGGCTGCAAATGTTTACGCGATGTGAAGTAAAGATTGATTGCGCTTGTATTTCTTTACATTGTTTCGTACCCACTACATCTTGTTGCATGTAACAACTACCGCTGAACAACTCCCTACAGCTCAGATAAGGCATTGAAAGCTTGTTTCACTGGATTGTGGACGTGGCATAGGAGAAGCGGGTCTTATAGAAGGAGGGAAGCTAGAAGGACCACAAATGGCCAACGCTTACACATACTGGTCTTACAAAACTGTTCACTGTACGTACAACTTGACCATCAGCATTAAAAACAAAATAAACACCTTATTTAAAGTGAATATTAGCGCCAACTACTCAACAGGAGAAAGACAATGCCCGTCGATCAACTTTTTCGTATTTCACCTTTTCCGAACAGTGAAACTTCAACTAGGAAGCCTTAGTTCTTGAAAGTACCTTCTTGCCGACATTTCCACTAAGTTACTGTTCATCTTCCCGTATCTGAACTGCGAGTAGTCAAGGTAATGTTCCATTCAAACTGCTGTTCACTTATGTACACGGTAAGTTCGGTACTGTTTGACTCACTGCATGAAACAATCACACGACAGAGTGACGACAAGCGGGCTAAATAACGCCTTGAAAGGTTGTTTTGCTGCAGGAAGACTTTAACTAAGGAGAAACACGCTATCAGGTTGGAAGGGTGAACAAGATCAGTGTTGTTCAAGTACTCAGTGCTTGCGAAAGCAGTTCATTGTGCCCACTTTCACAATTTTTGTGTTTATATAAACACAAACAACACCAACGCTAAAATAACGTTACCCGAACGAGCTCTGAGACGGCGAGAAAAGAATGGAGGGCCTACAGAGTGATTGAGTAGATGCAATTTCTTTTCTACAATCCAAATTTTCGCGTCTCATTTCAACATCGTCTTGAGACGCGCCTTGCATGTGAGCCATCACGTCGTTGAAGCGAGTACGTACTCGACTCAATTTCTCTTCCTCCGAGTATTCTTGTGCAATCGTAAACTGATTTCTCTCAAGCACGTCAGCCGTCAGAGCACTAACACAGCGGCGATGAAAACGAAATAGGTTGTTCTCCGTTTTTTTTTTCTTTTTTGTGTCGTAATGAAATGCAAAAAAAGCCGTCGGCAACAGAAGTGTTACTGTCGTGCCAACTTTGGCGTTGACAATACTGATACCCGAAACAACAGCGACGTTGTTTATTTTTCTTGTTTGTTTTCCTGTTAAGTGATCTTCTCGACGGCAATTTATTTTCTGCGTTGAGTGAAACGTTTCGCGCTCATACGCTTCAGCTCCGTAACTCAATATTATGAGTACAAAAGGAGACTTGAAGCGATGAGAGAAAAAGAAGACAGGGTGTCATCGAAGGAAGCGTTCTGAAAAAAAACAATAACAACCCAACAATGAGGTCGTTTTCATACGGGCAAAGTACAATTTTCTCGCTCAAGCGTGGGACCCAGTAACACACCTTTCATTGCTTATTTTAGTCTGAGTTTCTCAATCATTATCGTAACGTCAATATTGCCATTGTGTTATTGCATTCTCTCTCGTGGAACAGTACCTACGGCGTCCGTTCTTGTTCCATCGCCAAGATTGGAATATATATTCGCTGACATTGCGTGATGGAGATACTGCTTTGTAACAAAACCGAGTCCATTAAAAATAGCTGTGTTATAGCAATGAGCCGAGACAAACTTACCTGTTTTACTGCGAATTTGAATACGAGTATGTTTAGCCTACGGCAAAGTACTGCACTTCGTAAATGCGCTGAAGCTATAACGACGAAGCAACGCTAGCTTACGCTACTTGCAAAGGTACTCACGTTTGCGAAAGTTTTATCTTCATGTTTTGTCAACATGCATATATAGCTAGAAACGATAGCCACCGCAATATGAATCGCTACCTACAAAGTCCAATGGGTGCTCTTAATATCCTGCCCCACCGTGGTGGTATAGTGGCTAAGGTACTCGGCTGCTGACCCGCAGGCCACGGGATCGAATCCCGGCTGAGGCGGCTGCATTTCCGATAGAGGCGGAAATGTTGTAGGCCCGCGTGCTCAGATTTGGGCGCACGTTAAAGATTCCCAGGTGGACTAAATCTCCGGAGCCCTCCATTACGGCGTCTCTCATGATCATATGGTGGTTTTGGGACAATTAACCGCACATATCAATAATCCTAATATCCTCTAAGCTAGCATCAGAAAACGTGAACATTGAAGCAGTCACTTCCTAAATGGTGTTCTAGAGACATGAAAAGCTACAACGGAAGGAATTTCAAGAAATATCAGCTTGTGATAAATAGACAAAGCTCATGTTCCAGCTTCAGTGCTTGAAATTTTGTACGTATTGCTTGAGCGGTATATTCTTTTCTACTTTCGTATGCATAGTTTGGGAACTGGCATTAAGGATGCTTTTAATTGCTAGCGTTATTACTTGCAGTGTAATTTAACCAGCATATTCTAGACTGGTTCCTTTAATTTCCCTCCTGTTTCATAATTCCTTGCTACCCTGCGTTCTGTCTCGTTGTTCTTCCTTCCTCTCTTTCTTCGTTGGCACCATACTTTGTTGTATTCATTCTTTAATTTTTATTTTTTTGTAAATTCTCTCATCTGCTTTCTATTTCTTTTTTGTTCCTCACATATTTGTTTTAGTTATACGCTCGCTTCTATTCTTCCTGCTATCCAAACTTCTCCCTCCATTTGTATACTTCGTCCCAACTTCATTCACGAGGCAAGTGACAGACGGCGCGCGCCCCCTAAATTGATCTGCAAACCCGCGCGTATTTTCCAGCACTTCTCCAGTCTTCCCACCCACAACCACAGTTCTGTCCTAATGTACCCAACGTCGCAGTTTCCTATTGCGCCTAAAGCGTCCCAGTCTGTTCGCGTCGCCCCGAAAGTTAAGTTCACGACGGAAGCACTCCCTTAAATTACATTCCACGAGTAGAGCGAGAGACAAACCGTCCCCTCCCATCACCCTCCACAGCGACTTCAATTAAAAAAAAAGCGTAGGAAACTACGAACACAGAGACCATCAGTGGGAGAGTACAATGAAATAAAAACAACAGGCTACCAAGTTAAGGCACACAGTGTAAGTCGCGAGCCGAAAGAAGCCAGCCGGGAGGCGAAGGCGGTCACGGAAACCGATCACTCTTCTACGCTCATTTAGAGCTGGGACTTCTCTGGCTCGTCGCAAACGGTTCTTATATGCACTCCCCTATTGATGAAACGAAAGTATAGACGACTCAGAAGGTGTCTCCGCTTCCGCCTCATCGATTTTTCATCGCTATTGGGTGCCTTGATCGAGGCAAACCGAGAACACATTGCTTGCTCTTTGACGTGGAACGATGAGATTTTTCGCTGCTACGCGGTCGCATTCGGTGCTTCCTTCAAACTCGTGCTTTTATTCTGGAGCGAACTTCGTAAAGCAACTCCACATCACGCCGGTGTCCCTGGATCGCACGTTCTGATATATGCCTCACGTTTGCGCGCAAATGGACTGAAACTGGCTGGAAGGAAAGATGAAGTGATGGGAATGGTACCACACGTTAGAGGTATTGAGAAATCGT